ATAAGTTTCCGGAATGAAAGAATTGAAATGAAAGAAAAAAACGGAATGAAAGAAAGAAATGAATTTATTGTTTCTCAAAATATTCTCCGTTAGCGTTAATGTACTTTTTCATACGAGTTAACCAATTTTGAAAACATATGCAACTTCTCCGTGACAATCTCTGAAACATATTTTTCATACTCTTCGACAGCCTCTTCAGGTGATGAAAATCGTTGAACCGCGTAACTGGCTCTTAATTTTTGAAAATAAATAAAAGTCACAAAGTGCCCGGTCGGAACTGTACGCGTGATGGCTCATAAGGTCAACGTTATTCACCTTAAAAAATTCATTTGTCTGTCTGGCCGTGTGAGAACTGGCATTTTCGTGGTGCAAGATGATACGGCGTTTACGGTTAATTTGACGGAGTTGTCAATAACTTCCCGCAAATAAATGGTCGTGTACCAAACACTATTCACGGTACAACGATTCTCCAAAGCAACAGCAGCCACGTGTCCAGTTTTATTAAAAAAAGCAGCAATCATCCGTTTAGAGGCACTTTACACGCGCTTTGGTTGCTTTCGGCTCATCTAGAAAGACCCATATGCTCGATTGCTGCTTTGTTTTGGGATCGCAACTACAAATCCATGTTTCGTCACCTGTTACTATGTCCCACACCAAATTTGACGCCCCTTCGTTGAATCTGGAAAGCATGACATTGCACCAAGTGACGCGATCTGTTTTTGGAGCCTCAGTCAAATAGTGTGGGATCCACCGAGAGCACAGCTTTTTCACATCCAAATGTTTGTGTAGTATCGATTGTATTTAACTCATGCCTATGCTTAAAGATGCCCGACCCTCATGGTATGTCATACGCCTGTCTGTTTTGATCATACGGCGCACAACATCGATGTTTTTGTTGTTCACAGCAGTGGACGGGCGACCATCACGAAATTCGTCACTGATATTCACACGACCGCGTCTGAATTCTGACAACCAGCTACAAATAGTCATCTTGTATGGTGCTTCATTGCCAAAAACCGTTTGATGCCGAGGGAAGCTCCACTGAGCTGTTAAATTACACTTCAAATCGTAGAAAATCATACTACGAAAATTTTTACGAGTTAAATCCGTGGTGATGTAGACAACTAATTTCTAAAATGACGCTACAATGTAAAAACAAGTGACAGTCAGATGAAACAAACTGTATTCTACAGCCAAAGAGTTCCATTTTCAAATGTTGTAATTACTTCTTAAATATTGTTTATGTAAGTGGCCAGTTCCGGAAACTTATAGTGCGCCCTATGTAGAACCTATGGAAATATGAAGCTGCGTTATATTTCCATTGTCAATAATTATCACTGATTTACAAGTTTCTTTTCCACGGTAGGTTTTATTTTTACCGATATTGTTGGTTACACGCTCTATGGTCACGGGTTGACGGGCCAGCGGCAGATGACTGTTTTAAGGTTTGAACAGTCGCGAAGGACATTGACTATTCGACCTCTAAGCAGTAGTAACAGAATCAATTTGGGAAATGTACTTTTACCTGTTCTGTTGCCAACCCCCTCGATACGTGAAGCAAATAATTTCAAGTTAACTTAGATATCTACTTCCATTTCTACTATCGCACGTAATTATAGCTACTAATTGTGGTCAACCGCCTGTGTAAAAAAAAATTCAAGATGGCGAATCCAAAATGGCGGCCGAAGAAAAAACTTTCTTCGATGCGGCTGAAAATTGGCATGCGGGGGTCTTTAGGAGTGTTTAATCATAATTTGGGGTCAAAATTTTTTTTCGCCATTTTTTAATGTGGCTGCCATATAAGTGTTTTTTTCGTTAAAATAGCTGCCGAAAGAGACTCGCTCTGTTTCAGCTGGAAATTGGCATGTGGAGGCCTTTAGAAGTGCCAAATAATAATTTGTACTCAAAATTGGTTTTTCGCCATTTTCAAATATGGCCGCCATACAAGCGTTTGTTGGCAGTAGAAAAAAAATTGTTCTGATCCCTTCCAAAATGGTCATGTGGGAGTCTCTAGGAGAGCTTGATAATAATTTGAAGCGTCCGCACGATGTAGTGAAAATAATATCTTATTTACTTAAACAACTTATAGCGTTGTTGCATCTCGACCGTCTCTCTGTTAGATTCTTTTTTATTGAAAGCTATGCCAAAAAGAAGTATGAGAAGTATTTAGGGAAAGAATGCCAGACAATCACTTCAAACTTCTGGTCTCAAACTAGGGAATTTCCTGTACTATGAGTAGCAGAGTAGCGATAATTCTGAAGGCTACCCAGAATACCCTGACCAGGACCAACTTTAAAAATATTTTTTTCATAAATTGGTGAGCCAATTTATGAAAAAAACAAGGGAACATAATAAAAAATAAGGGATCGAATCTGGAACCTCCTCATCAAGCGCCCATAGTACTAATCGCTGTGCCACCGAGCATTAGTACACCCCATAATCTGAAAGCGACCACGCTCCGCAGGCCGAGCCCTACCCCACCTACGGTGGGGTATAGGGCTCGTATATAATATAAGTCAATTACGTACACAACGCGGATTGTGGCTAGTGCATTTGTTTGGATTACTTTATAGTCTTATCTTTACAGCGCGCAGTTAAAAGGTTGAATATGTTTGCCCATGTGAGCGGCTTTTCAAATAGAATAATTATCATTTATCATTTCATGAGTGGCGTACAATGAGTTTATTATCGTATTTGCTTTCATTCATTTATTAAGATGAATTAAATTTCAGAGAGTACTTGAGATACTGTAATATTAAGATACCGTACTCGTAACAGTACAGTTTTGTTGCTTGTTTTTTCCATATTAAACGAAGACCACTGACCTCCTGGTTCATCAGTGATAATAACTAATTCACAATTTGTCGAGCGTAGTAGCAAATATCTTTTTTGTCTATTTGTAGGTGTTGTCAGTAGGAAAATAAATTAAATTGCAATAAAACAGGTATAGGCGGCTACTACAGCCTGCGGAACAATTCGGTCGCAAACGGGGACTTTACACGGGCCTCGGCAATGGGTTCAACTGGGTGCTCACTTACACCCTTAACACCATCGGATTAATGTACGGCTCACGACTCGTCGTAGAAAACATGTACAAGCCTGCCGATCTCAAGATTTATGTCGTCGGTGATGTTTTTGCTGTAAGAGACTTTTCTAATTCATATGAACCCTGCATTTTTTTCTATAGTACCTAACATCGAAAAAACATTTTAATACGGTCCTAACTTTACAGGTAATGTTCAGTATGTACATGGCAACGCAGTCCATAACGTTTTGTGTGCCACACATGGAAGGTTTTGCAGCGGCTCGAGGAGCCGCCACCAGCGTCTTTAATTTGATAGAACGTGAGCCGGGCATCGATAGCCTCCAGGAAGGAGGATCAACTCCTAGACGAGTTATAGGAGATATAGCATTAGAAAATGTTCATTTCAGCTATCCCTCAAGACCCAGCGTAAAGGTGGGAATCGTATTGGAAGCTTTATAAATTTAATGTTATTTATAAAAGCGTCTCACAAACTGTTGTGTTTAATACAGGTTTTGCATGGATTTACGCTAAAAGTAACAGCCGGCGAAAACGTGGCCTTGGTCGGCTCTTCCGGCTGTGGTAAATCAACTGTATTGCAATTGTTGCAAAGATTGTATGACCCAAATACTGGATCCGTACAACTCGACGGAAAAGACTTAAGAAATTTAAATTTGGGATGGCTGAGATCTTCTTTAGGTAATTATGTGCACAACATTAGGTTCTTACCTAGTTGTGCTCTGATAATAAACAGATAATTCGGTGCCTACATATAATTAATATGCTGTGAATTGGTTTTATTAGGTGTAGTAGGCCAAGAACCAATTCTCTTCCGAGGCACGATTCGAGAAAATATTAGCATAGGCTGCCTAGAGGCGACCATGGAAGAAGTACAGAGAGTAGCAATTATGGCTTACGCTCACGATTTCATCACACGTTTGCCCAATGTAAGTGATATAACGAGGATACCTACTCTTTATTTTTTATAAAATACTTATTTTTTTACCCAAGCCACATTCATGCAGGGTTATGATACTATGATTGGTGAAAGAGGGGCGTCACTATCCGGTGGCCAAAAGCAAAGAATTGCGATAGCTAGATCGTTGCTACGAGAGCCTGCGGTGCTATTATTGGATGAAGCTACATCTGCTCTCGATCCTCATTCTGAACGACAGGTGCAAGCCGCACTTGACAGAGCCAGCAAGGGAAGAACTACTTTGACAGTGTCGCACAGGTATACCTACTTACTAGCACTGCTAAACAATAAGAATATAAACGTGAATTTATAATAAATGTAGAAAACGAAAACTTTTACCGTCTTTAACTGATACTTTGTTTGCAGATTGTCTACCATTGTAAATGCTGATAGAATCATTTGTATGGACCAGGGATCAATAGTAGAACAAGGCACTCATGACGAACTTATGGAAGCTAAAGGTAAAAAATACCGATAATGTAACACAATTTACAGGAACGAATACGAAAAATTCAAATAATATCGTATATTAAACGTTACAGGATTCTATCACAAGTTAGTAACAAGAGGCGATGAAGTCCTAGAGCCTGATGAAATTATGCCAGTTCCAGAGGAGGTAGAAGAAGAAGAAACACTCAGCCCGAGATTAGATATTAAGCGGAAATCCAGTAGAAGAACACGCAGAACACTCTCTTCGAGAAAAAGTAAGGGCTTTGACACTTAACCGACATTTTCTGAACTACAAATACGCAAATACTTAGAAACCACGATACAAAATAGCGTACTCCAAAAAGGCAATAAAATCACCATCTGTTAGCTAACCACTCGTGGACATCAATTTAATGATCCCAAATACGATAATTCTACTGTAAGTAATTGAGGAGCTGCGTTATTTGCAGACTCCAAAAAACGCAGTTGAAGAAATGAGAAAGTATTTGTTAATTTTCGAATCAAGTCAACTATACATATCTGTACCAATTTTGTGCTTGTTGGGGCTGGTCAAAAGCAATATTCTTACTAATATTCATTAAAGGACTATTTTTATTCGTATCTCCACAGGTTCTGTCGAGTGGATAGCAGCCCGAGGATCCATTTGTTCGATGATGTCAACTAGTGGCCACAGTTTCGGCTACAATGAGTCTGATGACGATGCCACCGAGGAAGATGAAGTAATATTTTAATTTTGTCTATCTATTAGTTTTACTATGAATTACTTTAAAATCTTAAAAATCTGACATCTTTCAGGAGATTAAACCGGTCAGCAGCTGGCAGCTTATGAAACTCAACGCGCCTGAATGGCCTTACTTGGTGACAGGTTCCATTGCTGCTTTCATTCAAGGAGCCTGCTTTCCAGTCTTTGCTATTCTCTTGGGATATACTACTGCGGTGAGGAATAATACTTATTGCAATACTTAATATTTAGTTTCTGGCCGCCACTAAATATTCTGCATGTTGACTTCTCCGCCTTTTGAGGCTTTATGGTTTATTTATTGACATTTTCAGGTATTTGCATATCCAGATGGCGCATTCATAATAGCTAAATGTGATTTATTCGCCGGATTGTTCATATTAGTGGCAGCAACGGCAGGAGTAACCATGTGCTTGCAGAGTGCCACCTTTACCAGCGCCGGCCTCATGATGACAAATAGATTGCGGGAGCAATATTTCTCCGGTTTACTGAGACAGGTCTCTACTATCTATTACCACACTCCTAGAGTTTCTTGCTCATTTTTCTCAGAGGAATCTGTTTTGCGAATGAGCAGTTGGGTTTAAGCAGTCCGTAATCAGTACGACGTAATTTGCTTACATATGAAATAAAGATTATTTGGCTTTGACACATATGACTGCAGGAAAATAAGCTTATGTCATGACTCACTAATACGTACCTATTCATTTACAGGAAATAGGTTACTTCGACAAAGAGTCAAATACTGTAGGTGCAATGTGCGCGAGATTAAGCGGCGATGCTGCTGAAGTACAGGGCGCTACGGGACTGCGCATCGGGCTCATCCTACAAGGCTTTAGTTCCGTATTCGTAGGCTTCATCATAGCCATATGCTACAATTGGAAACTCACCCTAGTTGGGACGGCTCTTTTACCTGTTGTTAGTATCATGTTTGGTTAATTTTTAACTTACTGAATATTTTTACTTTTTTTGACAAAATGTTGATCACATTTTTTATCCTCGTAGATGGTTGGAAGTATATGGTTAGAGGGTATAATATCACAACAGTCCCAGGCCAATGAACGCGCTGCAATGGAATCTGCAACCGCAATTGCCACTGAAGCGGTAATTGCCATCAGAACCGTACAAAGTTTAGGTATTCCAGTTCATTATTTGCAAAATGTTCATTGTATGTGTATGCAACGTGCGGAAAATTTTTGTTATTGCACTGTCATATATGTATGTTTGTAGGGGTTGAAAAAATTTTTCTTAGAAAATTCCAAGAGAACCTGGCAGAATCTACTGCTGCCGTGGCACAAAAGACGCGATGGCGCGGGCTGGTGATGGGGGCGGGGGTGTATGTTCCATTCCTGTGCTTCAGCGTCGCAATCGTCTATGGCGTCACCCTCATCGCCTACGAAGGTGTCCCATTCAGTACTGTATGGCTGTAAGTACAGTGCAAGTGACTACAATGTAATTAATTGGGGGAAGTTAAAATATCGTTGATATAGTTTACAATAGAATCCATTTATTTGCCAGCGTACAGTAATTGTAGAGATCTCCAGTAAAATTAAGTATAAGTAACATTGTATTCGACTCGCACACCTGTTCAAATATTACTGTTACTGTCATGTGGAACAGTTATTTTCACTTTGAACGCTACTTCCAAAGCTACGAAATTGCTCCATAATACAAGACCGTAACTGAGCATGGAAAACGTAACCGTGTAGGTTTTCAACGCAGCGTTTTGAGAGACAGTTTGCCTTAGTCTTTGCAATGTACAAACAAATCTATTTAATCTCACATAATCTTATGTTATGGATTTAAAACAAAAAAAAAAATGTGTTAACTTCGTGTACTGTATCAGCATTATATTGAATCTTAATAAATATAGGATGTGAGTTGTATGTACTATTTAAATTTCAGTTTTACTTGTAGTAATACTCAAGTCATTGAAGTCTATCCAAATTATAACATCATCTTTATGCTTTAATATAAAGAAACAAGGAAACGGGCTTAGTACTCTAGTTTGGGGAATTATAGCATTAGTCGCTAGTAGTTTGTGATCTGAAATTTTGTTTTTCAAATATATTGTTACAATTGTTTTTATTTTGTAATAATTGCACTTATTTCTATATATTGTGTTCGCTTTTTAAGTAGTTTTCGAACCAATCATGGTTGTTCCCCTAATACCATACATTTCAGCCTGTGTACTCTTGTACGTGAATTTTAAATGGTTAACAAAATTGAAAGCCTTTAGGAATTCAAATTTTTAGTGGTATATTTACCTAAAAATGAAGCTCTTTCAAATATTTTGGACAGAATTGATATTAAAGTTATGGACCTATAATTATTTGAACTTTTCTTATCGTCTTTCTTAAAATGGGGTTTGACAAAACACATTTTTAGTTGTTCTGGAAAAAGACTATAAGTGGATAACCGGTCTATGGAGCACATACTTTAAGTATTTTAGTAGTTATACTGTCGTAAGCATTGGATTTATTGTTTTTAAATACTAAGTTTTTAAGGAGTAAGATACTTTTTAAAAATATTGTATGGAATTTATTATTTACTAATATTTTTTCATTCATTAGATGTGGTCATGCGTCTATGGATCAAACTATCTTGATTTGTCAAATCTAAAATATTATGATTAAATATAGTATAAATGTCTACTGGATTTGAGTATGTGTTATTTTTATATCGTATCTGTTTTTAAGTTTTTTATAAATATCACGGTTTGATGTTTTCAGAGTAACTCAATCCATCATGTACGGTGCTTATATGCTGGGGCAATCGCTTGTTTATGCACCGAACTTCAAGTCAGCTTTAGACTGTGGGGCCAGAATCCTTTCTCTTATACATAGAGAACCTAAAATAAAGACTGAACCCGGCGTGACGGATAAAAAAGATTGGGTAAGGGCGGCTAACACCACTCAAGTGAATATCCTAGTTTTGCTGTAAGTTCATTGCTTAAATATATCTTGAAATAAGTTTAAACGTTATTTCGAACTCAGGCCGCCACTGGAAACTTCAGCGTGATGGATGTCGAGTTTAGTTATCCGACTCGCCCGAACCAAAAAGTTCTTAGAAGCCTGAATCTGAAAGTGGAAGCTGGTAAAACTGTGGCTCTTGTAGGCTCATCTGGTTGCGGTAAATCAACTATTCTTCAGCTGATGCAAAGGTTCTATGATCCGATTTCTGGTAATATTGTAAGTGTAATATTGTAATGAGTGGGTACTTACTCACCATCGAGTATATAACCACAGAGACAAAATAAGGGCCATCCATCCCTGGCAACTTATCAGGCAAATGGGCCTTATATAACTCTTTTAAATATCAACTCTCGTTTGCGCTGTAATCACAAATTAGAAAACTGAAATAGTACAGCGCCAACGACTGACCTGTGTGTATGTCTCCGTATATTCCAAAAATATTCTTTATTTATTATAATAAAGGTATTATCTCTAACTATATGGGCTGTCCTTTTCGGAGGTGTGGGAAAAACAGCAAAACATTTAATTACAAAACAAACGGAATCACATTTCATCGGTAATTAAATATTAAAATACGTAATTTTGCAATTATCGTCCATTATAGCAAAACTCAAGTTAAACTGGTCTTTTGAAGTGAAACATTTGACAACACCCGTCAATTGTTTCGAATTCCGACTGGCCAATCGATTTGGCAGAAAAGTTTTCAAACAAATTAAATGACATTTCGTCTCTACTTCTGGTTATATACTCGATGTTACCCACTCACTTATGGTAGATATAAGTACTTGTTTATACGTAGCACTTGTTAATGTCAGTAAACTTGTATCTGCATAGGAGTTAGATGGAGTTCATATTAAGAATAACTTGACTCTACCGCGTCTGCGGCGGCAACTCGGTGTGGTGCAGCAGGAGCCTGTGCTGTTTGACCGCACGTTAGCCGAGAACATCGCGTACGGCGACAACAACCGCAAAGTGACAATGCACGAGATCGTGGCTTCCGCCAAAGCCGCAAACATTCACAACTTCATTGTTTCTCTGCCTAAGGTGAACCGACGAGCTTATGCAGCCGTTGCATGATGCAGTAGAGAAGTAGTAAATCTCCTGTTATTGCAGGGATATGACACCAATCTGGGCGCAAACGGAGCGCAACTGTCGGGCGGACAGAAACAGCGCGTGTGCATCGCCCGTGCGCTTATCCGTGCGCCTAGATTATTGCTGCTGGACGAAGCCACCTCCGCACTCGATGCCAACAGCGAGCGGGTCAGTACAGCCGCACCGCTATATTGAGCCACCTTCATTGTGGTGCACTCAGTTTACTACGCATGTGTTTGCAGACCGTATCCGAGGCCCTGGAAAAGGCTGTCAAAGGACGGACGTGCATCTCCATCGCTCATCGGCTGTCTACTATAAAGGATGCTGATCTCATTTGTGTTGTAGACAAAGGTACAATACATTGCACTCTCCATACATTGGGTGTTGTCAGTTTGGTAAACGGCTTAAAGTTTACTGTTTGTGATTTTTATCTAAATATTTGCAGGACGAATCGTGGAGCGTGGTACGCACTCGGAGTTGATTCAGCAAAGAGGCATATATTGGCGAATGTGCAAGGGGCAACATATGGCGTGATCAGCAGTGGGTCACTTCTCTTGAAAAATTCTGCACTTGTTATTCACATCCACACTAAGACATGTATAAAAACCATAAATTAAATTGTATACATCTGTAGGATATACTTTGTTAATTTTATTTGTTTTATACGATACAATAAAAAACTTAGTATTTTTTTGCCGAACCTAACCAAGTTGGACAAAATAAGAGGTAATTCACAAAAATATGATTCTACATAATCCCTTTTCAGGGAGATAAAAGAACGCAACAATCGCTAAGAGACTCCCGAAACTCCTTGTGTTTACGATGACTCCCTTGGGTAGGTTGGGTGTCTAAAAAAGTTTCTTGTACAAAATGAAAAAAAAGCAAAAACTGTATAGGCATATCAGCTTAGACTAGTCATGACTTTGTCATTCGAGAGATCAAACTACGATTTCACTGGTGATATTAAAGGCAGAGACGTGACCTTTAGGAGATGCTGACCAGAAAAATGAAAAAGTAGCATAAATCTTTTTATTTAGGTATTTACTTGGGTCAACAAACAGTAGACACAATTAAATATGTAATGATTGTGTCTCCAATGAAAAGTGGTGATGCACCTCAAGAATAAATTAATTTGGCCCCGATAACCAAGGTGGTGGATGATTCCATGAAAAGGTGTGCAGACATTGTACCACACCGGTAATGGTTGTGTACTCTATCAACCCTTACAGGTCCTACTGCTTAACACAAGTATAAATAATACCCTATATGCATGTCCACTTGAGCCCCGATGCGGGTTTACAGACTATGCTGGTGTTTTAGAGACTGTACGGAGTATCCGTACTCTTATAAATGATAGTATGATAACTGTTTAGTGTGTTTATTTGATATATTGATTTACTACTAAAGATGATACATTTGATAGGTGTGAAATGAGTGCACTGCGCGATGGCTGATTGTGAACTGATTTAAATTACAATATGGCGTAAAGTGCTGATGGAGCGCATTGTCGGTCGTAGACCGTACATCTTGCCCACCGCGAGAAGCAAAGAGAGTGAATGAGATGAAACTGATAATGAATTATGCTAATGATACAGAACTATATGTTAAACTTATAAATTTCACAACATTCAATGCTTATTTATATTGTCACAGAACATTGGTTCGCGAAAAATAGGCGACGTCGATTTGTTTTGTTGTGTCGTCTTCGCCTTCTTTGATACAGTTGTCATCTCTATAGACTCACTCCGGTCCCCCCGAGTTGTTGATCTTCTGCTGTTGCGTTGAAAGAATTGCCGCCGTTGAAAATTTCAGGCACGTCACATGTTCGTGTAACGTGCGAATTGTTGCTAAGGCATCGTGGCTGCTCGGAATTTGATGCCTTTTGTTGCGTCGTACCGCTACTGGGTGTCGAATTGCTTGACTTTTGATATGCCTCGTGTAAAATTGTATTGTGGCTTCCGTTGCACTCACGACATTTTTTACTGGAAATACATGCCTTCCCATTGTGAGCGAAAAGGCAGTTTTCGCAGAAATTAAATTTTTTGATAGTTGATTGCTTCATTATCGGGGTCATATTTAAAAATTGATTGCAATGGTATATTCCATGCTCTTCGCCACACACTGGGCATTTTCGATTAAATTTCTTAGCAAGTGACTGCTTCGTAACTACTTGATTACTCAGAAATGGACGCTTAAAATTGTAGTTTGATTTTTGATGCTGATATCCCGATGTTGATGGTCTGTTGTTTTGATAAAATGATGATTGAGACTGTGGGCCATCTTGCTTTCGGCGCGCAGTCTCCATTGTTGTGAATTTGCTCTCTAAGAATTCAAAAAAATCCTTCAACTCGGGTAATTCTCTTTTGTTTTTCACTGAATCCATATAGTCGTTATATGTCTGAGTGTCTAATTTCAATGATAAAAGGTGCACAATGAGTGGGTCCCATGTGTGGATATCGACGCCTAGATTTTTAACAGCGTTCAGGCACTCATTGGCTGTGTCGTGAATCTTCTTGATATGAGTCACTGATTGTTGCTTGGAATTCGGTAGATCCAAAATTGTATTAATATGAGAGTTGAATATCAGTTTCTTGTTATTATACCGATTATTCAGGATCTCCCAGCAAGTGATATAGTTTTCTGTACTGATCGATAGATGCTGAATTAGACGCTCGGACTCGCCTCTCACTTTGCTCTTGAGAAACTGCATCTTCTGAGCATCTGACATAGAAGGGTTGTTGTGGATTGCTTCGCAAAATAGGTCTTTGAATGACACCCATGCTTGATAACTTCCATTAAACACTGGGACGTCTATCTTTGGGGTAAACTTTTCACGGTGCGAGATAGACCACATCTTGCTGTTTATGGCCTTTTTAACTTGATTATAAGTGCGCTCGTTAGTATTAAATGCTTTTTCATAAATAGTGTTTATACCACCTTCCAACTCTATGTCCAGTTCCCAGTGAGCTTGATCGACTGTTTTCCAGTGTGACTCTAAATTACGCAGTGCATCTTCAAGTTCCCACTTACTGTTGATGGAGTTTAGGTCAATGCTAGACACTGTCCTGGTAAAAGCACGAAAATTACTTGCTTGCTTCCTGAAGAGGTCGTCGGTTTTACTGTTAGTACCGTGATCTTGATTGTTGCGGTTCAAATTAGGAGTACGAAACCCGCTGCTACCGGCCCCCTCTTCACCATCTTCTTCGTATTCATCCGACGAGTGACTGCTTGAATCTTCTATCTCTTTCTGTTTTTTCTCCACTTCGTAGCTACTGATCAACAACTTCGTCGATAAAAAATATTGATGTACACTTGCATAAAATTCGGTGCTACAACACGGATCGGTTTTTGTTTCACTTGCTTGTAACTTGATATGATTTTGTTCAAATTCATCCCAAAGGGCACAAAGTGACTTCAAGCGCTTTGGAATGTACTTCGGCTTGCTTTTCCTTTCAGCGCCGTCCTTGCTGAAATTGATGTTGATTTTCTTGATTTGCGTATAAATTTCCTTTTGTCTGTTGATGAGAGACTCCATGATAAGGGTTTTTTGATTATTCGCTTATTTGATATTGATAAATTGATTGATATTGATGTCTGCTTGATGATATGCTTGCCGAAGAATGATAATTGATTTGCTAGTTGATATATGATAATAACGATGATAAGTATGCTGGTTTCCTCTCTGCTTAGCGCCACGTGGCCAGTGTACAGCTATTGCGCCGTCTCAATCTGCCCGGTGAGACCCGCTTGCAAGCGGGTCTCACCTTGTGGGAGGCCGGACAGACCGATCGCACTGTACACTAAAACACGCGACACTTGAACTTGACAACACGACTTCGAATGAACCAAAAACGGTCCAAAGGTCGCTCGAAGGACCAAAAAGATGTACGGAGTATCCGTACTCTTATAAATGATAGTATGATAACTGTTTAGTGTGTTTATTAGTATTGATTTACTACTAAAGATGATACATTTGATAGGTGTGAAATGAGTGCACTGCGCGATGGCTGATTGTGAACTGATTTAAATTACAATATGGCGTAAAGTGCTGATGGAGCGCATTGTCGGTCGTAGACCGTACAGAGACTGTTGACTAAGCTCTTCGAAAATCTAAAAAACCAGTGTGAATAGTGTTGTGAAGAGCTGGTCTCCATACACACAATGTTTTCAAATATTAATTAATGATATGCTGAAGAAGAAGAAGAAGCTGCTGAAGTTGGCGGCAGTTTGCTGCACCCCGCAAACGCTACACGTTTTTGCAGCAGTTTGTTGATTATGCGGGATATAAATCAGTCTCTTATTACACAAGATCAGGAGTGATACAAGGGAGTAATCTAAGATCATTGGAGTTTATTATTATTTATTTATTTATTCAATAACAACATTGTGTAACATAACGATACCACGGTATTACAGTAATTTAGAAACAACAAAAAAAAAACAAAGTCAACTAAAACTAAATTAAAACAAAACTTATCGTCACTTATCTTAAATAAATAATATAACTAAAATCCGCCCTCTTTTCTCTTTAACACTCTCTTCCATGGTAACCTATCACAAACCCGAATTTCTTCTTTCCGAATTTCATTACTCCGAAAACGGTTCGACTTTTTTACATTAGTGCGATGGTAGTTTTGGTACAAATTTGCAACACAGAAATGTCTTCCAGCCGAAGTATTGTTTGTCCGAAAACCTATTATTACAATAATTATTACACATGTGTATTCTTTGGGCAGAAGTTTTGTATGGTTTAAACATGTTTGTTATACTGTCTGTTTCCCATATAATTTAGATTGCTGAAAATTCGTTTCGACAAAATTATTATTCTTAGATAAAATTGTACCGCCATACAAGATAAAATTTTACCGCCATACAATTTTACCGTACAGCTCCAAAATTTTGGACTGAACTTTGCTGGTGCACAGCAAGTCCACTTATGTAATTTTCGTCATACCATTGTGCTATGTTTTTGCTGTCATCTGAAATGTAATTTAAAATGGTCAATGGTCTTGATAGCCACCATCTTAAAGGCCAACTCACGTGCCCCGCGCGTCTCCTCGCCTCAGGCCCTCAACTAGACCGCTACTGAGGGTCGTATTCTAGAACTCTACTCAATGCTCAAGTCAGGATTGCACTGGAAACACAAGCACTGGGATTACGACCCTAATGGCAGGGACTTGAGTATGATTTCGAGTGCTTTATACCATACTCAAATCCTGACTTGAACATCGAGTAGTGTTCTAGAATACGACCCTAAGACACGCTAGCTGCGCGCGGGACGAACGCCCCGGTCACATGCAACCGGGGCAGACGAATGTGTTCGTCCTGCAGCTAACCACAAACCCCGGCGAGTCCAAACCCAATCTGGGTCCGCCAGGGACGCCCATGAAGTCGTATAACTAGCGGAAGGCTTGGCCCGGAAGCCCGCAGTACCCTGGTCTTGCCTTCGAGCCCGTAGTCTCTCCGGAAACCCCTATACCACGGGTCAGTAGATAGGGACAACTAACAAGCAGAGAAAAATAAAGAAAATAATAACAATAAAAATAATAATAATATAATATTGTTCGCCGGTTCTAGAACCCGAGTCCCTGACCCCGGCCGACTGTGCCATTGCCGAGAAATACCGCCTCTCCCATTTAAAAATTCAAAATTTGTCTTTGGGCCTTGGCAGAGGCGAGACTCTAAAATAGATAGAATAATAATAAAATCGGCTATTTATCTCTACACATTAACAAGTAAAAATAAATATAAGCTCTACACGGTGTTTAGTAACAACAATAGTGGTTTGAGATAAAAATGTTTGTAGCTCAGCACAATGCCGGAGTGTTTAACTACGCCACTGATATTCTGCTACAACCTTCCGTGTTCATAAAAAGTAGAACTAACACACATTATCATTCTAGTTCTAAGATTTCAGGTCCATTATTAAATATTTACCACACTCATGAATCGTTATATAGATTTTTCGTTACTATTACACACAGAGCACTATCCACACACAACTACAATGCCTATCTCCAAGATTTGCCTAGACAATAACCAATTAAAACATTCCTTACAGAAAGTACGTGATGACAAAATATGACAGTCTCGTACAGGCGGGGAAAGATTATTCCACACCTTGCAAGTGGCGTGTTTTAAACAACCCGAAGTGTACCAAAATATACACAGGTAGTTTATAAATATGAGTCCGTACTCGCAAAAAAGAAATAATGCTTTTCGGTACCTACTAGTTTTTCAACGAGGTAAATCGGAACCTTAAACTTATGTAAAGATTGTACAATCGGCCATATTAAGCTGTTTGTAATCGACAAGATACGGTGGAATACGATCTCTTTTATGTATTCTAAAACAGTAACGCAGACAAGAATTTTGCACTGTTTGTCTTACTAGTCTTAGGCTAGAACTCTACTCAATACTCAAGTCGGGACTTGAGTATGATTCAAAGCACTAGAAATCATACTCAAGTCTGCTCAAATCCTGACTTGAGCGTTGAGTACAGTTCTGGAATACGACCCTTAATGTACTGACGAGGGCCAAAAACAACGTCACAGTACTGCAAATAAGGGAACACCAATGCATTACAACAACTTCCCAAATTATATAAGGACCTAAGAGCGCCAAAGCAACGACCTATTTTCTGGAGAAATTGTAGTTCGCTTCATTCAAGAGAAGACCGATATTGCCTTGGAATTAAAGTCCCCTTAATAGTTGTCATAGAATCCACATCCATAATTAACTTGATTTGTTTACACGTACCAAAAACGACAAAAACACTAATTCCTGGTTTCAGAACGACGCCATGACGATCAGATCAGGGGGCCACTGAATCCAAGTTCGAACATATTTTATTAGTGTTAAGTTGTGATCTACAAATAAGTAAACTACACGCAAAACAGTTTGAACATAATGTTAATCCAACGACAATTACGCATTAAGCTTTATATCTATGCAGTATCATATAGTCAACAAGAATTAATATACCATGTATTATTGTCTTATACGTGGGGCACACTATAATTTTCAGGAATGAATAAGAAAAAAATACTATAAATAGTCAGAAATGAATTTATTGTTTCTCAAAATATTCTCCGTTAGCGTTAATGCGCTTTTTCAAACCCGCAAAAAATTTATAAAAATAATTTAATGATCAAATCAGTTACAATACTGTTTTGTTTTGTTATCTAAAATACAACCTTGAAGTTAAGTAGTATCGAGTAAATATTATGAAATAGGTTAAAAGTTAATCGCAATATTACCGTTAACAGTGACATATGAGACTGCAATAATTGTTACAAAAATATATCTACTTGAGAAATGTGTACATCAATCGTCAGTCGTCGTATTATTATCGATCGTACTATTGTAACCAAGAAATAATAAAAAATAATTTCTAAAATTGCTTTCAGCGTTGTCCTTGACTGTACTAATTGAACTTAATATAAATATATGATGATGATATTACTTTGTAGTTGTAAAACATATACGTGAGGCAATTCGCCGGGCACCAGCTGTAATTACAGACGTGTTCTGGCACATCACTGACTCTACAAAACTAATCCTAATAGACAAACTATGGGACTAAAGAAAAAACAAAAGTAAGTGAATATTATTTTGTATTGTTAACCGAAAGTCGGTTATATTAGACGATCTATATTAGATTTGGAAGATTTCTGTATTCCTATGTAGTGTCATCCAAAATTTGGTCATATTATAGTGGATTTTGAAGAAGCAATTATAAATGCCCAATTTGATGTTAACATTTACTGCATTTAAGGTTTTAGTAATAATTGTAATAGCGTAGCGAATAGCTTGAGCGCAAATTATGTATTACTTTCCTATATATTTTTCATATTCTTGTAAGTAACTGAAGAGACCATTATTTTCATATACGTGTTAAAACGATCTATTATATCATACACTTAATGTAATAAGGCCCCATTTGTAAATTTTTCAGAAGAGAACTTAAATTTCACGAACGAAATTAGTGGACAATTGTTTGCGTTTAAATAGAAGCGTTATAAAATTTCATAATATGTATACTTACATAATTTGTTTCGAGTAGTTCGATTTATTTTAATGATTTTCATGTGAGAAAAGCACTTTTAACGTATGGTCACATGTGGCTTTATTATACCAATGATACAATATATATATATATATATATATACAGGTTGAATCGACCAGAAAGTCTTGTTTTTATTTTCAGAAATTTTGCACAACGATGAATTACTTTTAACATACACTGAAAAACTTTCTAACTTATGTCTTACTTTCTCAAACACGTATCTTATAAATAGTGATTATTCAGGAGATGGCATAACTTATATTTATTTTAAATTTCTTATCAAGCGTGTTATTTGAATGCATTTGCTTTAAGAATATGTAAAGCCAGTGTTTGTATATGAAGGAAATGTGATGTGATGTGAAATGAACCTGCAAAATGTATATTTACAAATTTACAATGCATTTTTTGCATTTCATTTACTTTGTGCTTTAAGATAAGTTTTAAGAGTTTGAGAAAGTAAGACGACGTTATATTACGCTGAAAAAAAGCTCGTATAATTCATAGTAATGTAGTGTGTGCACAGAATATGTACACATACAATGTGGAGTGCACAATTGGAGTGCGCAAAAAGTGTGTGTGCACACACTACATTACTACGAATTATACGAGCTTTTTTTCAGCGTAATATAACGTCGTCTTATCGCATGTATGTATGTATATATATATATATATATATGCATATATGTATATATATACATGCGATACATTCCCTTTCCTCAATATCAATCCATTTATACGTCCCGCTGCTTGTTAGGAGAATTAAAACCAAATATTAACGATTCTTGTTCCGTGGCTCTGGAAGCGATATTCGAACAAAAATGCATGGCTTCATGTTGCAGTTGACATTACATGTTTAATTATTTTGTAATATGAAGTTCACATTTTTGTCTCTTATACAGAGAAAAGGAAGAAGAAGAGAACGAGGATACTCCAGTGTCTTATTTTCAAATCGTAAGTATTTAAAGTGATTCATTTGATTGTATGTGGACAGAATACTTTAATAACTTTGATGGTTTCGTAACATGATGGCAAAAAAGTTACGTATTAAGTGATTTGTATACATTATTGATACAAAGCTCATTTTTAAATTTACATGTACAAAACGTTTTAAGCTACATACCGCTTGTGGTAAATAGTACTTATTTATTTGCCACATAATAATATAATCGTGCATGACTTTCATAAGATTTCGACTGAATAAAAAAATTACTTAGAAGACGTTTATTGATAAAACAACATTAATATTTGGTCTTAAAGCCTTTCGGTTTTATAACAGCATTGATTCTTCTTAGGGACGTTATTAATTTTTTTGCATTCATCTGAAGTAATGGCCCATTTTTATATCACGTAATCGTACGTGATTGCTAAGCTTTTCTCAGTTTATCAGTGGCGCCACCTGGATCCCAGAAGTTCAATCTCATACAGCTAATTGCTTCTGATAACAGTTGATCTAGACCGATACTCTGTGGTTGTGGATACCCCACTGGGTACTTCCGACTAACGTCTGGTGAAAAGTGTATCCCTATGGGGTAGAATTCCCTGCCAGTAGACTTATTCTCTGACCGTTGCAACTTGGGCCTTTTCAAGGTGAGAGTGGAAAGGCATTCTTTAGGTATGCATGCTCCATCGTTGACCTCATGGTCACTTTCCACCAGTTGAGATTGAGGTCAAATGTGCACTTACATATTTTATATACAAAAAATGCCTAAATTGTAAATACCTAGAAATTTTATTTTATTTTTATTTTTATTGGATAAGGTACAGCAACAGATTACAGATCATAATTTACAACAGACAAAAACTATTCTACGTGAATGGTTATAAACCTGCAACCCAATTATAGCTATACACAACACTTTAGTATATATAATTAACAGTAGCACCTAGGAATTAACTATATATATATATATACATATATATATATACATATATATATATATATATATATATACATATATATATATATAACAAATAAACAGCCACCATTAAGAGATATTACAAAAAAGAATGAAAAAGTTACGTAACAAAATTAAGGTGGTAGATTGGAATATAGAGACTTTCTAAAAACTATGCAACTACTACTATAAAGATCATTATTAGCACAGATGTCATTATAATATCTACACATTCTGTATATCGAATTATTACTCGAGACATTATTAGCAGAGTGTGGAATACGGAATAATTGGGGTATACGCACAGAACGAGTTGGCACCTTCATATATATCATCTGGAGTAAGGTAGCATCTGCACAACCGTTAGGAATCTTGTGAAACATGCATAAATCAGATATTAGTCGTCTTTTTTCAAGACTAATCATAACAAATTTAGTCAGACGATCGCTGTAGGTTGGTATTTTCTTCCTCAAGCCGTATTTATAGCACATTGCTCTCAGGAATCTTCGCTGCACTGATTCTATTCTATCTTTGTGTTTCTGGTAAATCGGAGACCACACAGATGAACAGTACTCTAAAATACTTCTTACCAAAGAGTTGTATAATATAAACCATGATGTCATGTTTTGGAAGGGTTTACCAACACGAAGGACCAACGAGAGCATTTTATTCGCTCTGCTAGCTATGTAGTCATAGTGGGATCTGAATGAAAGGGCTGAATCAAAGATTACGCCCAAATCTTTTACATTAAAAACTCGCGTTAATGACGATCCACCAATTCCATAAGTATATACAACTGGGTATCTTTTATTAGTAAAAGTAATTGTGTTACACTTATTATAATTTAAAGACATTCGATTCAGCTTGCACCACTCACTTATGATGTCGATATCATTTTGTAACGCAATACAGTCGTGAATGGTCACAACGTCTCTAAAGATCTTAATGTCGTCCGCGTAAGCAAGACAGGGACTATCGATTTTTTCCAACAGATCGTTGATAAAAATTAGGAATAAAAGCGGACCAAGATTAGAACCCTGATGCACACCTGATATTGGGATGAAGGGGTCAGAATCATAGCCATTTAAAGCCACAAGTTGTGAACGGTTGAGAAGGTAGGAAGCCACCCAACGTAAAAGATTGCCATGAATGCCTAGCTGATGTGCTTTTGTGTGCCTTGGCAAAATCTGTATAAATTGCGTCTACTTGATTACCGCGTCCAAATGAATCACATATGTATGAAGTGTATACTAGTAAATTTGTCTGTGTAGATTTCCCTGATATAAAACCATGCTGACCTTGGTTAAGTAAAGGATTTATATGGTTGTATATTTGTTCATAATCAATACCCTCAAATATTTTTGCAAAACAGTTCAATATACAGATAGGACGATAGTTAGTAATGTCATTTTTATTGCCAGACTTATGAATAGGAGTTATTTTGGCTACCTTCCATAAATAAGGTAAAACACCACACTCTAAAGATTTGTTATAAATTTTAGTTAATGGATTAACTAATACAGAAGCACAAAGACGGATAAAAACTGGGGGAATACCGTCGGGGCCCGCGCCTTTCGACAAGTCTATATTCTTTATTTTTTTTAGTACGTCCTCCTCTGTAATTTTAATGGTGATAATACAGTAACTCGAGGAGGGAAAATCCACTGTATACATAGCTGATGTATTTTTGTCATACACGGAAGAGAAATACTCAGCGAAAAGTTCAACAATCTCATGACCAGTAGTAGCAACACGGTCATTGAGAAACAACCGAGTAGGCGTATTGTTCGTCACACGTTTAGTTTTAGTGTAACGCCAGAACGTTTTTATATTCAATGTCAGTTCAAATTCGATACCTGCTATGAAGGATTTAAAACAAAAAATGGATTACTTCGCTTGTTTTTATACTTTTGTGACGTTATGCGTTGCTCTTACCCAAGTCTGTAGAACTCTAATCAGAACAATAAACAGATATTATTATTATTATGCTCCACTACAATTTACACAACTTTTAGCGTTGAATGAATAGTTGTAAGACACCTTTCAATTTGTTTCATTTTCAATTTGTGCCGCTCTGTCTGATATATTTGTAACATTACAATCTTTAAAATCCCGTAGTTCCGTTACGGTACATGTCTGGAACTCTCAGCGACGATCTTGGGCGTGGTGCTGGGCCTACTCAGCGGCGGTGGCGTCTGTTACAACCTGGTGCAATTCGGTGAGCTCAGTACGGCCTTTGTAGAGCGCACCAATCCTACTCCCGGCCAATACTCCAGCTACATGCCACTAACGAGACTTTTCGGAGGAGGTGAATTGCTGTAAGTTACAGGACTGATTAGAAATCTCGTTGCTTCATCTTTCTCCTCCTTGTGATGTGACCTCTATATAATTGGTTCCTTTGATGATCGATTACAATGTCATATGCTCATCATAAACGCGAGTCTCTGTGTAAACTCATAAAAATATGTTGCAGTCAAATTTGTCAAATTTATCAAATATGACCATTATAGAACGAATATGTAATGTATGATTTACGCTAAATATCAAATAATATGGACGAGCTTTCCTACATTGCCGAGATGGGATACGAAGGATGAACCAACGTATATACGTAATAACGTAAGTATATTCTTCACAAAAATTACTACAATTCATTGGAGTAAAAAGTCAAAACTTTAAAACTTCAAAAATGTAAAGTAGACCTTGATCTGCTTCTTATCTGTTGAGATTTATAATTAGATTTCCAGATCTACCGGATCGAAGTTTAAAGTAAAATAGGAAATGAAACTATTTTTCCGGATTTAAATCGCGTATATTTGTTTTTTCAAACAAAACCAACGTATTTCATTTCCTATACGTAACAATCGCGAAAACCTAAGAACTTTAAAGTAAAATCCACCCTTTAATTCATAAAGCTTAATTAATCAACTCTGTGAACAGTAAGGACAGGAGTCACGAGGAAAACATGCAAGCACTGGTAAACGACGGTAAAGCGATGGCTATTGGCATGGTTGTGAGCATCATCATTTCCTTGTTGATGTGTGTCGCTTCCGTTGCCCTCGTCAGCTGGAGCGCACTTAGACAGGTATGTATGTACGTTAAATGAATGCCATTGTAAATACTGCTACGTAAACATTGTAACGGCTTTTATACGTCGTAATCTTCAAGGGAAGATTAGGATGTACAAACATTTACGTACGATATAATTATTTTTCTGGGTAGAAGATGTGAAATGTCACAATGAAACATTGAAATGAAACATTTCCGCGTAAAAGCAAATATCAAAAGACGTAGAGTTAGTAGATTATCTAATTATTGTTTGATATAACGGCGACCTTCTTTGAATTAGTTTGAATGTTTTCATAATATATGTTTGAACTAGTATAAGCTGCAATTTAAAGGCCTACTACGACAAGAGGTAAGTGGCGGTGGCAAGGAGTATAGAAACTGGATCCAAGGACAGTCAGCGATGTAAATAATATTGTACTAATTCGAGCAAAAGTAAATAACTAAGACACTGTACTTGATTTTCGGTCAATAAAACTATTAAATATTTCCGAAAACAAAAACAAGGACACGCATAAACTTTTTGGCTGTTATTATTATTTTCCACTGATACATTTTAAAATAACTCCTAAATAACATAGTGTACTAATTTATATTTTATGACCATACAATGCACTGTCTTTTAGGTCAATATTACCAATTTATGTTATTGATTAGCGACACGGTACGGAGACAGCTGATTTCTTCGCAACTGCCGCACTATCAATTGTTTCAATTGGAGACCTTGTCGCCGATTGACACGATGTTTACGCACTAATATGCTGAATCATTTCTATAATTTAAATGGGTGATTGTCAAAAAGCTTACAGAATCCGTTCAGTGAATAATAAACTTAAAACAATGATTATTAAATTTTAGAATCAAGAGTCATGAACAATAAAGTTAAGTATCAAAAGATTAAAAGATATTTTGTAAAAAAATATTTAGTTTTTCAATAATTACACAATTTTTTAGACACTAAAATTCGTTTCGGTGGTCTGTTCAGAATCGATCTAGGCGAATTGATGCTTGCAAAATAAATAAAATACTGCCTTAATTCATTAACGTGTAGTTGAAATCCCTCCACACGTCCTTAAGGCTGTATTTTAAACATGGTTTGAACGACAATAACAATCTGGGAAAAATATTAATCGTTGTCACATGCTACATAGTCACGGAGTCTTCTCGGTGGTCTGACTAACAAGGAATAATTTCGGATTTAGAACACAGCCAAATCATCAAACTGCATAATTGGGTTTTGCACGCACCCTATCGGTCATTTTTACCCTGTAGTTGAATTCAAAGCCAAGGCAGTGTATTGTTTACCACAAGTGTGTTTTGGTCAAACCTCGTCAAACCTTTTCGGTTACGCAGTCAAATTGGTAAGTAACAACTGATTAATTTATATAAACAATCAGTTATAGCATCAGGCAGTAAGGGTCCTATTGCTAATAGCATGCAATTTTGTTTCGAACCTCAAAATATTTCGTTGTACCCTGGTTTAGTAAGCAAATGTCCGAGGAAATGCACGATTGAACACCGAAAAGACTACGTTACTTGAGTTTTATTACACATGCGCTAAGCACGTGAAGCATTAATTTTCGTTCACTTAGCGCTTTATTGCTTTTTCAGATTAACCAAAGATGGCGAAAACTCGAAGCAAAGTTCCCGACAAAAAAAATAAATGTCGAAGACGCGAACAGAAAAAGATAACTATGCGAAAGCTAAGAGAGAAACTGAAAAAAAAATCCGGTAGGACAGAGAATATTATATGTATATTATAAGAGAAAAGATCAAAGGTTGATAAATACAATAAAAGACAAATGCCAAAGATCCACGAAATCTTAGAAAGAATTGGATGGAAAATGCAAGAAAACGTTGAGAGTTAAAGCAAATACAACGCCGTACTGAAAAAAATGTTCGAGAAGGAACACCACCATCCTCTCGCATACCTAACGGCAGCCCTGTGCCAACAGCTTCGCTGCATCTTCCACCATCCTCGTCATAAGTGACTTCTGGCAAAAATGGTGCAGCAAGGAATAGACGAATTTTTTTAGTAGCAGTGGAGCTCCTTGTGAAAGAGTTCGTCCAGTGAGGTACTGCCAACTTACCTATTTCTGCCACCAAACAGTAATGTGAACATTACTACGTACCGGTTGGCAAAGGTAAGGGTGCTGGTGAAATTACAGGCTCATGGGACTTGTCAACTTATGTCTCAAGGTCACGATGCTTCACGACGATGTTTGTCACACATCACAACCAAAAATATAGGTATATTTTTGGTGGTGGTCATTGTGACTGTAGTTGCGCTTGTGTTATTTATTTTATTAATTTTATGCAGAGGGAGAGTGGAAAAATTAACTACATGGAAAAATATTCAACACAAGCGCAGCTATTTTGCACGATGTAACCTTCCCTGGCTTCGCGGAGTAGCAAATAAATTTACTTCCATTTTTATTAAGGCAAAGATTTACCAAAAGAAGAAATACCGAATGAAAGACTACGGAGCAAACAAAGCAGCCCAGAAAAAAAGTTAATAGCTCTCAGCAGAACAAAAATAGATGATACTTATTAACCGGAAATAGAAAATAGGACAAAACATGCTGAAGTCAACCATTCTAAGACACATTCCGAATCCATCTAATTGTATGGCATAGAAGTGAACCTCGAGTCCTACACGCCAGAAGATAGAGTTGTGTGGCTTGTCCAGCAAGCATTGTGTGCCCTCATTATGACACAGGATTTATAGAAATTCTTATGAAATATGCACACTATGAATCGGATGTTGAAGAAGTTTTTGATCAGCCATCTCCAGGAAAACATAAAGAAATCTGGAGATACGAAGATAAAACTCTTTCTCTGATTCTTCTGAGGACAATATTCCCTTGGTTAACATTAGCTCAAGTTAATGGTTCTGACGATGATTTGAAAATCTTTTAGTTAGGAAAATGACCACCGAAAATATTTTTTTGGGGGTTCTCAAAATAAAAGCTCTTCTTTATATAAAAAAATATTTTTTTGTTACTAAACTAGTCGATTTATAAGAATGCTCTTAATTATAGTTACTTTATAATTATAATATTGTATTAAAAGTTCTTCATGTTGGTAAAATTTGAAACATTGTTCTTTTTGATGGTCAAGAGAGTATTTTCGGTGGATTTCAAAAACATATTATTATTCCTAATTACGTAAGAACGTAAGATCGATCTCATTTGTTACGTCTTTATGCAAAATTATCGAAGTACCAATTAGAAAAATAACAAAACTTACACAAATTAATACCTGTTTTATTATTTATCTCACAATGTCCAAAAAATGACAATTTCCCAAATACGCAAATGAATTTAATGTCATAACCATGATACTTGGGTAGAGCCTAAAGTATATAAGCCGTATTATACAGACCTATAAATTTACATATCCAAATTACCTATAGCTAATACTATATTTATATCAAGAAACAAGGTACTCTTAGACTGAATATGTGTGTAGTAATTATGAAGTTTTAGGAACTTACGTGGGTGGTCCTTTTAACCACTCGGATTTAACGT